CGCTCTAAACCAAGGAAGCGTGTTGTCTGGCGACCACTTCCGTATGAGCGGATATAATACTCAACTATGAATACTTTTCCTCCGTCGAGATACCCATTTCCAACAACGGCACAACACAACTTCCTTTTCACTACTGGGAACACGTGCGGCTGGAGCTATGCCCCGTCGACAAACGCACATGCGCGTACGAGATGCGCGAGGTTCAGTACTCAATCTTTTGGCGCATACTGTAATTATGATGCAACCACAGAGTCCGTTATTACCCATTGGATTGCTGGAGAGGCCTCCATTGCTACTGACTCTGGCTGATGGGATCTGAAGAACGTACAGGATGAGTCCGTCGGGCGATGTTGTGGGAAGCTGCCGCCTCGAGAGACGCGCCTGGATGCCTGCCAGGTAGGCGATTCTCGTCGCCAAGCTAGGCTGCTTTTCTGCGACAGCCTTAACAGCCTCATCAAGAAGGCTGTGGGTGGCAAACTGCGCGATCACTGCCAGTGCGTCGAGCGCCGCCTGTCGGACCCGACGCCTCGGATCTGCCACGGCTGCAGCCACTCGACCGGTCATCTCGTCCCAACGGAATTCTGTGCTTGGGAACGTCAGAGTGGCGTATATGAGGAAGAGCAATGAGTTTTCACGCATCTGTAACATACAGACGATCTGTTGCAAATTATTCAGAACATCATAAGCTTTATAGGCTTAGAACTGTGACTCGGTGTAGCTCTAATAAGCAGTTGCTAGTCAATGGTCGGCGGAACCGTCTAGTCATTGCTAACAGCACAAATCTCCACCAATATTAATTTCTTCGTATCAAATATATGGACCAGTATCACAACAATGACTAAACGGATAGACATAAATTAAGACGCTTAGGATATTCAAGTTTTGAGGTCCCGTATGTATTGTATTGATCCCTAATTATTGAGACAACTAGAATGACATATTCCGGTTCAAAAGTTTTTTTTTTTCTAAAAGCACTTCCTGTCTAATGTCGCGCGGGCGTCCGTGATTCCCCAAAAATCGCTTTTGAAAAAGTGAACGAAATAAATGACTGCAACGATTTGTGTAACATTCACGTGCGTAACACGTACCCAAATACCTGCACAAACGCTTTGATTTATTTATTTTTTAGTGTTAAAAATACGTACTCCATGTAAGCATAATTCAATCACTTTTCTTCTTATCGAAGTGTATGTTGAATCGACCTCTCGTTTTTATATATTGAATCTGACTTTCCACTGGTTGTGGCCGAGCAATGTTACCTTGTAAACGGAGAAGCGACATATTTTTATTTCTTGGTTAACATAAATTCAGGGAATGAAACGGCCCTTTCTGGTTTTTGCACAATAACTGTTGAACTTCGTTTCAGGCACGTTGATGGAACAGACTTAAATCTTGAGAATTTCGTGGTTATTCCGTGGATCTGACAAATTCAAGTAAGGAAAAAACAAACAAATCGTACATGCAACGAGACTTATGCGACTTTCATTAAAATTCTCAGAGCAGCTGATTTTACATCTGTTTTAAGGTAATTTTTACACCAGCAGGCTTATTGGGAGAGAGTCTGTGACTACAAGTGTACGTAAACGCATTATTAGTTGTCACGTACTTACAGGAGGGGCAGCATTGGGTTCGAGATTGTGTCGCGTGAAAGAGAACCATGTGAACCAGTTCATGTCCTAGTGAAGAAATGAGGGAACTAGATAAACGTATTTTTTTTTCCTTGGCACTACAGCCCCAGTGGGCCTAGGCCTACCTCCATGAACTTCTCCGTTCACTTCGGTTTTTCTAGATCTTACACATTCGGTAGGACTCCTTGGGCGGGTGATCAGCTCGTCGCAGGGCCTCTACTTGTACACAAACACAGAAAAACGCACACAAACATCCATGCTCTGAGTGGGATTCGAACCCACGATCCCGGCTTCCGGGCGAGCGAAGACAGTGCATCCGTTAGACCGCTCGGCTACCGTGACCGGCAGATAAACGTACTCGTATAGAAGGAGGAAAAAAACGGGGCGAGAAAAGAAGATATGGAAGAGCCGATTTCTTATTTAATATCAGTGAGGTTTTCCATTAGTTTCTTTTTCCGTTAATCTTGTTTCCTTACACTTGTTACTTCTTTTTTTCCAAAATACCATGGTTCGTTGTCTTTCCTGTGCGAAATGTGACCCTGATTGGCGTATCTTTCTTGTGCACGTAGCTCATGCCTGATCTGGCTCATTCTTACTTTCTTTTCGATTGTTGCTCCTCCCAAATCTCGGCCCGGAGACTAGCAACACTTAACTACTTCGTGGCTTTACTCAGTTCCTCCAGTCAAATGCCCGGATTGTGTCCGGGGTTCCGTGACAAATAATGAATGGGGTGTGGATTAGACGCAGCTGTTTCATTGGATAACTCGTTTACAATCGCTACAGTCACTCCGAAATACCGTCTTGAAGACGATGCTACCTGACCAGCCCATCGTCTCTGATCCGACCACTGATTCGGTCTTTTCTGATCTCATCCGCTTCGCTCTTCTCTGATCTTGGCTGAGCTGGTTTCTCGGCTCTGCTCCGTTCGCCACTGATCTGCTCCAAAGTCAAAGTCACATTGCGACTGATGGTCAGTAAGTCAGTCAGTCAGTCAGTCTTGGTGTCGAGCCCAATCTGGGGCTTATGACCAGATATTTATTACTGTTTGACAGTCACGGTCTTGTTGTGGAGCTCCCTCTCTAACGAGAGGACGTGTCTGTCTTTTGTCAGAGTCTTCAACAGCCGGACGGACTAGGAGACACTTTCTTGAAGGGTATTCGTTGCAGCGGGAACTGCAGCAGCTCTGGCTTCTGCCAATGCATGCGTTGTCGTGTTTATAACTGCCGCCTTGGCAACGAGATATTCACTGTTCCTTGTTGTATGGGAAGCACTGTTACTGAGCCGTTGTCTAGCAATGGACGTTTCTGTATGCGCTGTCTCGGAAACGTGTATTAACAGCCGCTGTCTAGCAATTCTGGCTTTTAGGCGGCACGCCACACTAAAACTGTGACACGAACGCTTTCATCCACATAATTATCTATTCATTAGTCGGCAATGTCCTCGTCATTCGACGGTACAGAGCTGGAGGTATGGATATCGTCGTTAAATTCAGCATAAACAAACCTAAAGGGTTTCAGAACTACTCTCATACTTCCTTTCACTGCGCATCACATAGAAAACACGGCGTTCAACAGTTTTTCTCTTGCTGCGTGTGTATCTGTTGCGGTGGGGACGTGTTTACTGAGCCCTTGCCTAACAACGGCCGTTTCTTCTGGTTCTGGTTCCAGGCGCAAGGGGTGACGGTAATCTCTTAAGCATTCTAATATATTTTTTTTTTTCAAAATAAGGAAAGGAAGCTAAAGCACATAAGAAACCATGTGAATATAATAATTTACTGTACATATGGCCGAATTTTCTGAACCCCTGGACAGGATATCTCGGGGTGATGTTGTAATATTGCCTTAACAGCAAAGAGGTAGCGGACTACAGGACCAATGTACCAACTGATGTAAGATTTTAAAACTCTGCATTTTCCCAAAGACTGTACTTATGTGTCTATTATGATTATCAGTACAAACACCGATCACTTTCCTAACAGACCGGTCTTTGTAATGAAGGAGCAGTGGGTACGAACAGAGTTTTTAAATATTATTTAAACAAACTTCGTGCTTCAGAGTATTAATTGATAATTTGATAATTTTTTTTTACCTTCGAGCTTTTTGCTCCGATGCAGTCCGAGGTGAGTAGAACTTCGATCACTGGGTTGGGCTTCATGATCTGCATCAGTTGCTTAGCTACCTGCACTGTCTCGATCTTGAGGTTCACGCTGCCAGAGCCGCCGATATGTCGGGCTAGGCCGAACACGATTTGAGGTAGGTGGTCTTCAAGAACAGAGCGGGGCAGCGAGGCAATGAGGCCCCGCAAGGCACTGATGGAAGTTGTGGCCACCCGGTGGTTCCGATCCTCAGCCATGGTCACCAGCAAGCAATGCAGGATGGACGGCAAGCTCGGTCCAATCGTCTGCAGCACCTCTGGGTCCCTCAAGGCGGCAGACAGGCTTTCGATGCCGTGAACCCGAGACACCCACTCCTCCTGCATGACCACAGAAGTATCAGAAACACAAGCAGAAGGCAGCGCCACAGCTCAAGCGGTTAGTCGCTGGCTTCCCACCGCGGCGGCTCGGGTTCGATCCCGGGTCTGGTCAAGTGGGATTTGTGGTGGACAAAGTGGCGCTAGGGCGGGTTTTCTCCGAGTACTTCGGTTTCCCCTAACAATCTTCATTCCACCAATTGCTCCACAATCACCCTCACCTATCATCTGGGGCTGGTACAACGGGCCAGAAGTGGCCGCATTACAAGGGACTTAGTCCCACGCCACTAGCAATAAAAAAATGCAATGACAGAGTTAGTTCAGGGGCAGTTACGAGTCAGCCGTAAGCTGGAGGCGTGAGTCCAGAAGAATTTTTAGTTTATAGGAAAATTTCGAGACAACGAACCCCAGTCACAACAAAGATAGACCAAAAACAACTGGAGAATGTGAAATGTTTTAAATATTTGGGTAGCTTGTTAACAGATGGTGGAAGGTGTACGTGTGAAGACGAAGACTCTTTTTACCAGCAAATTGGACTTAAATTTGAGAAAGAAACTAGTGAAATGCTCCATTTGGAGCATCGCTTTGTATGGGGCTGAAACTTGGACACTTAGGGCAGTAGATCAGAAACACCTGGAAAGCTTCTAAATGTGGTGTTGGAGAAGGATGGAGAAGATCAGTTGGACCGATTATGTGAGAAATGAAGAAGTGTTATTTAGAGTCAGTGAGCAGAGGAATATCCTACACGAAATAGGAAAACGGAAGGCTAATTGGATTGGTCATATCTTACGCAGTAACCGCATTCTAAAAGAAGTAATTGAAGGAAAGATAGAAGGGCGGATAGAAGTGACCAGAAGACGAGGAAGAAGATGTAAGAAGATGCTGGATGACCCTGGGGACAGAAGAGGATATTCTCATTTGAAGGAGAAAGCTCTAGATCGCATTAAGTGGAGGAACTGTTTTGGAAGAGATTGTGGACCTGTCGTCTGACAGATTACTGATTAATGAATGAATGAATATAATTTTTACCGTCAAGGCGCTGCAAGTTTCTCACATACTATTACCGAACAGCAACGCTAACATTCTCATTTTTATAAATGGTTCGTACAAGTTAGTTTGTATTCAGTTCACAATCCAGACAAAACTTAGACCAGACTTTGGTTAAAATTAATAATAAAATACAATAAAATCAGAATAAAAATCGTACATATGACGAAGTCGTATAATTAACAACAAGTTAACCCTAATTTAATAACTAGGCGATACTAAATCCACAATTTGGTATTTAAAAATTATTTTATAAGTGATCTTTCAAAATGTTACAAGTTGTCAGTAGCTTCGTGTTTGATACTGCAGTAGACCACGCATGGGCTTCGTCAAATTTCTTCTGCTGTTTGCTGCATTGGCTCGCCATGTTAGTATCGTAATGTTACCGTTTTCCTAGAGAGCAGATTCCTCCTCTTTCATGTCGTTGGGAGCCAATGGTTAATGTGTGCCGTTTATATTATGCGGTTCATTGCACTGCGAGGCACATACTACAATCACTGTAGCATGAACCACGCAGTGCAATGAACCGCATAGTCTAGACAGTCTACATTATGAACTGAATAGGCAGTAACTTGTACGAACCATTTATAAAAATGGGAATGTTAGCGGTGCAGTTCGATGATAGTACGTGAGAAACTTGCAGCACCTGAAGATGACCAATTTGAGGTCGAAACATATAGTGGGAGCTATAAAACTCCGTGACCTGTAGTCCACAAGTGAAATATACCGACCGAGCGACCGCCGCTTGTCGGCGAAGTAGTCCCAACTTTCGCGGACAGAGAGTGTCACGTGGTTAGCGCAACGGATCCCCACGGCCGTTAATCTCGGTTTTCTAGGTCTGACGTGCTATATAAATAAATAAATTATAAAATATTGTTATTCTGACGGTAGAAATTACATATGTTCATTGTATATACGCAACAGGATGAAATCCTTAAAAATAAGTTTTAGTTCCGAGGTTCCTGAGTGACTGAAGACGAAACAGCAAGAAGACTTCATACTGCTTTGAAGTGCTAGTTTCTGTGTTGAGATCCGTCGCCAGGAGACGACTAATGCGTGTGCAACGGTGAACTGCAAAGTGTGTAATCAGCGACAGCGCTGTATTTAAGTATGATAAAGAGAACTTATAACCAAGGTGCTAATACATCCAATCATTCGAACAATAACCCGTTACTTTCGTCACGCGTACCCCCACACACGTGACAGTACGTATAGAGAGACAGATGGAAGGACGAAACGAACTTATCAGACGCTTCACAGTTTAGAACGCGCCTGGAAGGCGGTTATGGCTGCATGACAAACAGATGGAGACAAATCGAGACCAATGAACGAAAGAAGTGTACATAAGTTATACAGTAGCTTGCTTCACTTATCGACCAAATAATAACCCCACTCTGACACGAACTCATTATTAAAATCATGATGTTATTGGGATTATTTGCGCTTGTATTGGAACAGCATGTAGCCCAGATTATCGTGAACAAACTAATTTGCATGACAGATCTCGATAAGAATAGTACAATAGAGTTTAGAACTAGTTATTGATCTGGAAAACCCGGAAAGTGGGCTCTGTGGGTCATCCAACCGAGCAAATACCGGTACAAATGGCTGTCTCGTTAGGAAGATATCCAACCAGACACTTTTTCGCAACCTCACAACGGAAACAGCCAGCATCCTAAGTGGCACACGTGTTTCCTTTATCAAGACAGCAAGCAATACCCGAAGCAGTAGTTCAGCCTTTACAGTGATTGGGCTAACGACAGGGGGTTGATTCCCGACACAAGAACTGATTCTCCTCTGGGGAAGCATTCGGTCTGACACAGGCTCTTATCCAAAGGCCACAGGGTGCTCTTATCCCAGGCATAAAGCTGACCACTCAGGTCCGTCTTGTGTCGAAATGAACTATACCTCCTCCACCCCATACTTTTCCATGGCACGGTGCTTAATTACTGAAGCACGAGTACAACTTACGTCCACAGAAGACAGGTCCATGACAGTGACAGAATAACTGACAATTATAACCATTACAAATATAGCTATTTGTAACTCTCTGTACTACCTATACGGGGGAAATGTTGATAACATTTCATAATCGCCGCATCTGCTCATTTACACCGTGCAAACGAGTTACAAATGGCGTCGCAGAACTTCGATCCATACTTTCCCTCCAGCCATCAAAGATGTAATCTGTTTTTAGTTAGAAACTCATTGAAGTAGGTCACGAGATACTTGTAGGAGCATGCGCGTAGAGTGTTCTAGGAGCTCGTTTTGTTTACAGTGAGATGGGTAGCTTTTATGAATGTGAAGACGGGACGAAGAGGTTCGATACAATAGTGGACCATACACACATTTCACATCTGTGGGCTTTAACCGTACCTAAGAATCTGTGGTTAGTTCTACGGCGAAACAAAACGGTTGTCAGCCATTAAAGTGTAGGGAGGAAGAGATAATGATCATGGATACAACACGTTGTACTTTAAAGTTCGTGTTACTGGGTAAAACCCATGACTTCATCAGGATCGAAGCCTTTCGTCTTACCCAAAACATGACCAACAGTTCTTCTAGCAAACATGAAATTTGTGTAATCGAATAAGAAAAGATTCATTGTTTGATGTGCCTTAATGCTGAATAATAATGCGTTATTAATGAATATATCGTATGTATAAAATAGCTAACAAATCCTTTGAAAATGTGACACGATTCGAATATTTAAGAACAATAATAACAAATCAAAATCTGATTCACGAGGAAACTAAGAGGACTCAACTCGGGTAATGCTTGCCACCACTCAGTTCAGAACATTTTATCTTCTCGTCTGCTGCCTTGGAACATAAAAATCAGAATATAGAGAATTATAACTTTGCCTGTGGTTCTGTATGGATGTGAAATTTGGTCTCTGACATTAAGGGAGGAACATAGACTGAGGGTGTTTGAGAACAGGGTGTTGAGGGGAATATTTGGACCGAAGAGAGATGAACTGACAGGAGGCTGGAGAAAACTGCATGAGGAGCTTCATAACTTGTACTATTCGCCGAGTATAATTAGAATGTTCAAGTCAAGGTGGATGAGGTGGGCAGGGCATGTAGTACGAATGGGGGAGAAGAGGAATACATTTACGATATTGGTGGGAAAGGCAGAAGGAAAGAGACCACAAAGAAGACCAAGACGGAGGTGGGTGGACAATATTAAAATGGATCTTAGAGAGCTATGGACCAATGGAGGACTTTTGTGAATACGGTGATGAACCTTCGGGTTCCATAAAATGCTGGAAAGTTCTTGAGCAGCTGCACAATAAGTGGCTTCTCAAGAAGGGCTCAGTTCCTTGAGTGAGTGATTAATGAATATATGAAGACGGCGTCCCGCGTGGGTTTTCCTTTATTGCTAGTGGGGTGGGACTAAGTCCCTTGCAGGCCGCGTCATAGCTCAAGCAGTTAGTCGCTGGCTTCCCACCGCGGCGACCCGGGTTCGATCCCGGGTCTGGTCAAGTGTGATTTGTGGTGGACAAAGCGACGCTGGAGCAGGTTTTCTCCAAGTACTTCGGTTTCCCCTGCCAATCTTCATTCCACCAATTGCTCCACAATCACCCTCACCTATCATCCGGGGCTGGCACAATAGGCCAGTAGTGGTCGCAGTACCAAGTGGACTCAGTCTCAACCCGTGAGAGAAAGACAGATAATACCTATATATATGAATAATGACGGAAGTACCGGCGAATTCTCATAGGTCTAGATCCCTCGAAACTGCAACTAGAGGTCAGGACTTCACACAGGTTAGCCAATAGCCGCATTTCTTGCGAAAAGCAATGTTCGTGAAACGTTCACCTCTAGCGAGACAGTCCGCTCGGAATCCTTTATATCCAAATTGTCAGTGTTTCATCCCAAAGTCTGACACGGAACAGCCTCACTATAGACCAATGGCTGTGCTTGCTGAACTGACGCCCGCATCTGAATTCTGAG